AAAGTGAGGACCTACTAATTGGTTATTTATGACACCAATCCACACGTTAACCGAAAACCTTAACTGAGAACGACGTTATCAAATAGCATGGGGATTTTCTTCTGCCCACACATGTGAATTTCGTGAATTATTTATCCCGTCTCTGGTAAATTGGGCTTCATCTGTAAATAGTGTCCTGTATAGCGTTGGTCGATTATTGTTAATCCATCTACAAAATTCCAACCTATGGATCTCATCTCCAGCATGTAGTCGCTGAACCATTTGAATGTGATATGGGTATAGATTATTTTTTTGTAAGACTCTACTTCCTTTTGATTGAGTAACATTGAGTTCTCGACTTACTTGTCTAGTGCTTATTGTAGGGTTCATAGTAACGGCGCCCATAATGTCATCTTCCTGCGCTTCATCTACATGTCGCTCTGTTGTTCCACTAGGAAAAGTGCCATTTTCTCGCAAATAATTAAAAACTGACCCAAATGTTGGATGACTGGGAGTTCGACGATTAGGAAATCTCCTGCGATATTCTCTACTAGCAGCCCTACCATTCCCATTACAGAATCTATAAACAAATATTATGTCTGCATATTCTGTGGTCGAAAACTGATGTGGCATTTTGAACGAAAGTAACAAAAGCTCTACCAAAACTAACACAATGTACTTAACGTAGATATGACAGAAGAAATATGTATTCTTGTACACATAAATAACAATTTTTTATTTAGTACAGTTGATGCAATGTATTATTATTTGACATAAAACTTTAATCATTTACAATCAACAAAAACTAACACATACAAGAGGTTTGACTTTTTAATCAATTTAATTTATTATTTATCGAAAATAATGCTCCAATACGATCTATGAGTAAAATTTAAAATTGAAAAACAATTGATTCTATCTTAGAGATAATACAAAGTGACAGTAAAGATGTTAATTTTCTACGTATTAGATTATGTTGTAGGAACTCATTTTAATTACAATGTTTAAAATTTATAACATTTGTTTAAATTAATACCTTATAATTTGATACTTTATTATGGTTGTTCTATTTTTGGTAAGATTTGATCGTTCACTAAAAATTTAATAAAAGGGCGACAACATTGTCGCATATGTCTTTTTCATTGGATATTTATGTAGTTTGAAAATCACTTATTGCATTTAAAAAAAAAATATATACAGGGTGTAATATTTAATACGAATCCCTAAATTAATTTTTCCAAAGCCAGTCCTGGAATTTTTTAGTTTAGCTAACACCAGTCGAATGCTTGATAGTAGTGTAATGTATCATGCAAAAATTAAAAAAAAAATCAAATGAGCCGTATAAACACTACAGTAAAATGAAATAAATGGTCAATTACTGCTCCCTGAGGGACTCTAGATATGTAGAAGTATGTAAAGTTCCTCATGACTCACCCTGTATAATCTAAGTTAACTATGGGATTGCCAAATTCGATTGTAATAAAAATTAAATTTTTAACTAATGTTTGACGTTTGGATTTGCACTCCGAAAATTGTTTTCAAAAAAAAAAAATTTTAGAAATTCTACGTAAATGTATACCCAACAAGTTGTTGTCAAAAGGTTATGTTTCCCAAACATTGACGTTTAACTTACTTGACCTCAATATTATAGGCAATAGCATGCTTATGGTTAAAAGGAAAACGTTGAGGGTGGTGTTGTTACCGTCGGAATATTAAATTCTGACTATTATGTGTGTTTTTTTTTGTATTATAATGTGTATAATGTGTGTTTACGTAGATTATATGTTTTTGTATTGCATATGTATTATGTATACATTATAGATGACATACCTTGTCATTTACTTCTTCCCTGAGTAATTGTAATCAAAGCCTGCTGCATTTTGCTGGTGGGTTTGCTGCACATTTTTCTTTATTATGTAGAATAAAAACTGGTTTTTTATCTTTGATTTGTTTATGTCTGTTTCTTTCATGAATATTGATATATCCTGCCATTGTACTCTCTGCTCCTTGTCGACGAGATTTGTCGACGTGTCTGTTCTTGATATATGTTTTATGCTCGTTTATTATGGTACTTAGTGGTCTTGCTGTTTCTTCCACATAGAAATTGTTGCAATCACAGGATATTTTATAGATGCAGTTCTTTGATCTTTCTTGCATGTTGTTGGATTTGGTTTTGACAGGATAGGTCTCAGTGTGTGGGTAGTTTTAAATGTTGGTATGATGTACTTTTTTACTATCTTTCTCAAATTTTCTGATAAGCCCTCTACATATGGTATTGTTGTAATATTTGAATCCCTTCTTGTAAGTGTTTCTGGATTGCTTGTGGTGATTTGTTGTTTCATTTCGCCAATTTTGTGAAAATACTTGTTTATACATGACAATGGGTAGTTATTTTTTGTGAAAACCCTTTGTAAACAGGTTTTTTTTATTCCTGAAATGTATTTTCATTAGAGCAGATGCTTTGGACTGTTTTAGTGATTTTTGATGATTTATTTTTCTGATGTTAACTTTGTGATTTCAGTGGTGCTTTAAATATCTGTTGGCGTGAGTTGGTTTTTTGTAAACTTTGGTTACATATCCTGTCTTTTCTTTTGTACATATTATGTTGTGGAATTACCAATTCACTTCCTTTCCTGGATGTATTAGTATCACAGTCGAGGATGCAGACTATGTAAAAATATTTAATCAATAAAGGAATTATCGAATCATTATATAATAGATCCCAAAATATCTGCTCTAATAAAAATGCCCTTTTATTAAGAAAATAAATCTGCTAACAAAGGTTTTACCAAAAAATTACTGCCCATTGTTTGTTATTTATAAACAAGGAATTTCACAAAATTAAAGAAAGGAAACAACAAAATACCCAAAGCAATATTACTTCTCTCACAAAAAGGGATTCAAAGATGTTATCAATACTATATGTTAAGACCTTATTAGAAAATTAAAAACTAGAGGAAATAGATACAACATCAAAACAACTAATTCACTAATATATATATATATATATATATATATATATATATATTATATATATATATCCTGTCTAAAAACAAACCTAACAACACACAAGAGAGATGATGGTACTGCATATAAAGTACTCTGTGAATGCAACAATTTCTCTGTGGGAGAAAAGGCAAGATCACTATGTGTCAGGATAAACGAGCATAAAAATGTATCAAATGGAGACTTCGACAAATCACAGAAATGTAAACATGCCTATGACAATGTCCGCTTAATGAAGAAAGACGTGCAGCAAACCCATCAGCAGAATGTAGTAGCCTTTAGTTACCAATGCTAAAAGAAAAAGTCAATAACAGGAACATACCAACAATACAACAACAGTCGTAGACATTTCAACTATAATTTACACACATTACATATGCAACACACATTACACAAACATAAAATCTACCCAAACGCCCCTTACACAAATATATAATATAAGAAAATACAAAAAACAATAAGAATTTGATAACCAAAGGGTAAAAATACCACTCTCAATTTTTTGTTCGTTTAACAATAGCATGCTATTGCCTACAAGATCAAGACTTAGTAGGTCAACCGTCAATTTTAAAAAATTAACCAATAAAAACATAAAAATAAACAGTTTTTTGGCATGTTTGGAGATACGTTTCTAGAAGTTTTAGACCTGAAAGTCGAAATGCTAATAGTAAGTGTTGGTAGTACAATGTTGTATATCACAATTTACTTGATATGGTTTCCACAGGAATTGTCAAATCTGGATAAAACTCTATTGTTCTATTTTGTCTCTTCTGTTTTTTCTCCTGCGCTTTAAAAATTCAAGCTTGTAGCCTGTTCTGTCTTCTTTTTAGTCATCTTCTTCTGTACTTCATACTAATCTGTTTTCGTTCATTTTTCCAATTTGTTCTCTCCATTTTGAAGAATTGTTATTTATTCTGTCGTTAATTAAAAATATGCTCCAATTCGGTCATTATGTCGTCATTTCTCATGTGATTATTCAGAGTATAATCTTTTGCTCTGCCTAAAAATTTCATTTCGGCAGATTGTATAGATTGACGGTCTTGTTTTCGAAGTGTCCAAGTTTTACTTCCGTATGTTAAGATCGGTAATACCATCACTTTATAGAATTTCATTTTTATTTCTTTACTTGTCTTGTTTTGTAATGTTCTTTGTATGGTGCCAGATATCATTTGGCATTTATGTAGTTTATTTGTAACAATATCTCGTTCATATTCGTAATTTATAGGGCACCGTAAAAAGTTAAAATAAGACATCTGTACTATGGGCATTTCGTTTATTATTATTTTGGAACGTACAGCTTTGTTCTAGCTCCTGTCCTATTTCTTAAACGTATTCTAAAAAGTGTTTTCTAAAATCCCACACTCTTTATTGTAATTAGCGAGAGTCGTCATTTTTGACTTCAAATCTTTGTAAAATGAGTGATATGTTTGAGGGATTCATTGCAAACAAGACATACGATGCTCATATTTTGAATTATCGATTTCGATCGGTAAATTTATTTAATAAATTCTCTCTAAAATAAGGTGTGTCGGAAACATGTAATATTGACAGATTTTCTGCGAAAACTCCATTTTTACTGCATTTCTGATACTAAATATGATTGCAGCTAGTTGTTAAAAATATTTGCGTAATCTATTGATTTGTTTGAAATCTTCTTGTGCCATCAAATAAATTTGGAATATGCTGGTTTCTTTTGTGCATTCTTCAGAACATCCTTACAACTCATAGAATCATAAACAAACTGACAATGGGCCCTTATGTATTTCTCTACCATGGCAAAATCTCTATCAGATCGTAACAGTGTGATCCACTACAGGAAAATGATGCTGTCCTTGTTCAAAGTGCCCTAAGGCTAACAACCTGAGCCAAACATTAGTAAGAGTCAATTTTGTTTTGTCAGAAATAGCAATGAGTTTTTCACCTGTGATATGACAACGTTCAAAATGCTTCAATAAGCAACTTCCTATTTCGTCTGCATTTCTGCCTGCAGTAGATCCGTCCCACATATAAAATACTGAAATGAAGCAGAATATTTTTTCTTATAAAACGTTGGACTAGTGACAAGTTGTCGGGTGGTAATGCTCGTTGTAAATTAAAAGTAATTGCATATATTCCTGGATTTTCCGGTGCTGCTTTTCTTGTTTCATTAATTACAGCTTGCCCAGCTTTAGCTTCTCTGTGGTGCAACTGTAGTTCTGTAGTTAACTGCTTCAATTTATCGTTATCGTTGTAAGCTTTTGTTTTCTTAATTGGAATATTGGTCGAATCACAAACACTGCAAGAATCTGTTTTTGGAGACTTTAAGCTGATATTGTACTCCTCGGTGAATATTCGTCGAAATTTGTCTAGGAAAACAGGTATTTTTTGGTTTTCTAGACCCTGTCTGATAAACCTCATACCAGAATTCTATAGTGACCCCATTATTATAAACATACGATTTGAGCCTTCTCCCCTCGCCTTTCGCCCTGGTTTCTAAGTTTTATAAGTTTCGTTATAGTGTCGTATCTTCTGATTCCTAATTTGTTCATTGAAATCCTGTTTGCGCTTTCGTCCTTTCTTCTCGATATTGAAGTCCATCTTCATTCTTGCACTTACATCCTCCTTTTTCTCTCCCTTTTTTCTTGTTCAATCGTACACCAAAAGATATTTTGCACTATAATGTAAAACACCATTAGATACCATTAGTCAATTAACTATAGATAGATCATGTGATGTAAATGATATGGTATCTGCAGAGGTTACTACTTTTTACTTTAAATGTCACTTAACATAAAAACAAATACTTTAAATGTTTATATGTCAGTCCCTATGTCATTACTATTTGCATGAGGATTATAATCCGACTGCTCATCGGTTAAGTAGGGATAATATTATGATGAAACTTCGTCGTATGATCTCACTGTGGACGTTACAATCTTCGAGAAAATAATTGTTCAATATAAGGTTGATTGTTCGAATAATTAAACTTTGAGGGTATACAAGGCAACTATCGAACACGGTGATTAATTTAATCTTGCCCAAGTACTTTCGATCAATACATCATCTTCAGGGGCATCTGAAATAAGCCAAGAAACGTTTTTTATTAAAAAGGAAAATTAAATCACTTGGATACAAAACTCAAGTTTATGGTTAAAAAATTTTTGTTTTTATATGTGATAAACGTTTATAGACTTACTTCGTCAGTTGTGGCCTATCCGACATAGTAGAATGTCATAAATGTAAAATTTGGACATAACAATACAAAATACAATACACTAAGACAAACAAACACTTTAAAATTTATAAGGAGAAGCTACATGTCGTATAGAAGCCGGAGACAGAATGGGCTCCCGGTCTGACGGAAATGTAGAGATGACATGTGACAAATGACAGCTTGTGAAGGGCAGTTATGTGATCTGCACCTTTCAAAATTCTATGACACTAAGTGTTGACCAAAGGTCCAACTGACACCACTATAGGAAATCGACTGATGAAATATAAAATTATATAGTATAATTTTTTTTATGTAGATTGAATAATCCCAATCTCACACTCAAACCTGTCTATGATAATTAGGATGTTGGTTTGAGAGCAATTGAAGTTGACATAAAGTATGAATGTGAGAAAAGACTAACAATATATTAGACAGTGGATGGTTGACTACAATAAAATGGTCCACCAAGCGCTATCAGTACTGTAAAAAAGAAAAATCTGAATATGCAGTTAAATTACTAAAAGTTAAAATCAAAATTGAAGACAAAATATATAAATGTGTTATAGTCCACGTAGTTCAGTTCACATTGACTGTGGATTCAACTGAATATTTTGTCTTCAATTTTGATTTTAACTTTTAGTAATTTAACTGCATATTCAGATTTTTCTTTTTTACAGTACTGATAGCGCTTGGTGGACCATTTTATTGTAGTTAACCATCCACTGTCTAATATATTGTTAGTCTTTTCTCACATTCATACTTTAGGTCAACTTCAATTGCTCTCAAACCAACATCCTAATTATCATAGACAGGTTTGAGTGTGAGATTGGGATTATTCAATCTACATAAAAAAAAATTATACTATTTAATTTTATATTTCATCAGTCGATTTCCTATAGTGGTGTCAGTTGGACCTTTGGTCAATACTTAGTGTCATAGAATTTTCAAAGGTGCAGATCACATAACTGCCCTTCACAAGCTGTCATTTGTCACATGTCATCTCTACATTTCCGTCAGACCGGGAGCCCATTCTGTCTCCGGCTTCTATACAACATGTAGCTACTCCTTATAAATTTTAAAGTGTTTGTTTGTCTTAGTGTATTGTATTTTGTATTGTTATGTCCAAATTTTACATTTATGACATTCTACTATGTCGGATAGGCCACAACTGACGAAGTAAGTCTATAAACGTTTATCACATATAAAAATTTTTTTTCAACCATAAACTTGGAGTTTTTTATCCAAGTGATTTAATTTTCCTTTTTAATAAAAAACGTTTCTTGGCTTATTTCAGATGCCCCTGAAGATGATCTATTGATCGAAAGTACTTGGGCAAGATTAAATTAATCACCGTGTTCGATAGTTGCCTTGTATACCCTCAAAGTTTAAAATAATTGTTGTCTGGACCGGTACACTGGCAGGCATTTTTTCACACATGCCATATTTTACATGTTGACAAACGTAAGTACCATCTTTTACACTATTGAAACAGTGCCATCTGTTAGTGATTTTTGGTAAATTAAACCGGAATCTGCTTCGTTTGGCTTTTCCAATCATTCAATATTTTGAACATAGTGTCTACAACCTTTATTACTTGCATCTTTTATATTAAAATTATTCCATAAATTCTATTTAGATCAAAATAGGTCTTAAAAATTAAACAAAATTGCTTTTGGACGTTCAACTTTAACGGTGACACTCTGTATACTAATTAGTCGTCAAATATCTAGTTATTATCACGTATTGCGTGTTTTTGTTTATATACTGAGTGTTTAATACTAGCTCTACTTTCCAACTAAAATACTCTCTAAGAATAGCTAACTCTGTTGAGCTCTTCCTTGTTTCAGTTGGTTCGCGCAACGAAATTAAACATCTCAATCAGTCTATTTATCAACTAAGAGCTAATAACTAATGGTATTATAACAGATAACAGAAAAAAATTACCATCGTATCCATATTTTAACTCCTAAAATCAAGAAGTTTTTCCAGGGAAACAAAATTATATAAGAGAATGATTCGACCTTTGCGTAAATTCCATGGAGCAAGGGCACGAGTTTTGATAATAGACAGAGAGAATATGTCTTATACCTATCTGGGAAAAAGGCAATGGGAAAAATATGTGAAGCATACCAACAAGAGAGAATCTAGCTAAAATAAACGCAGAAAATATAAAGTTAAAAAAATAAAATGAAAAGTAACGATATACATAACAGTCTCAAAATATGAGGAATTGTCTAAAATTAGTGAAAAATTTAATTCTAAGCCAGATAATACGAGTTTTTCTATAGCTTCTGTGGACTTTGTTGCTTAGTGACGAAAAACTTTGAAATTTATAAATATTATTTAGTGTGTAATGTATGCTGATGAGATGGTGTTAGTAGTCATTATTAATGGAGAATTAGAACACAAATAAGAACTGTGATGACATTCTTTAAAGGAAACGGTTTAAAATTTAATAGATGAAAATTGTAATTTCACTAGAAAGTTAATTTGAAGATGAAAGAGATGCCAAAAAATATACCATAAGGTCGGTATGAAGATTATAGAAATATAGCTTGAGGAACTAATAATGCTTAGAAATAAAGCCAATGAGAATAAAGATAAGCAGGAAACATAGTCAAAAAGAGAGTACATGCGAAGATCAGGCAAACAAACTCAGAGACAATATATAGAGAATAAGTTCCATAAGGATAATATTAAGATAAAATATCAAAAATAATTGACAATGGCATACGGTAATTTACTATGAAGTCTAAATATATAGACGATTTGGAATGACGATTTTTTTTAATAACATCGATTTAGTAGTTTAAACTAATTAAGATTCTACTTTTTCAAAATGAAAATGAATGTTATTAGAAATAAGTGAGTAGACATGAGTTACTTATGAACCATTGTTTTTTCTTAAAGTAAACTAATATTTTTAGAGAATCGCCAATTCAAAGTTATCCCGAAACGAGTAGACTTCATCGAGAGAAAAATAGTGCGAATTTAGTACTAGATTCGGCATAGTCCATCAACGTAAAACTTACCTATGAGTGGCTGGTGTGTTTTGTGTAACCTTAGGTCTGGGATACTTCTTTTGAGTTGAGATAGCATGCCTAAACACATGAGTAAAGTTTATTTTATAGCACAGATTTTAATCGCTGGTATTTACTTTACCAACATAACCGATTACAATTTGTTTTCATGATAGAAATTGTTTTTTAAAATGGTACATGTCGTTTTTTAACTTTTATAAAAAAAATATAAAAACTTATAACAAAAAAATATTCAGTAGTCTAGTCGTCAGAGATTTGACCTCTAAAAATCATACGAACAAGCTAAATTTGGCCACGAATGTCAATTTTGGGACCCCAAAAAATATGCAAAAATTTAGCACTCCTACCCCCCAGCTTCCTCTTAAAATCCCCCTTCTCAGTAAGGAAATCGTTTGATCAAAAATCTACGCCGTAGAAAAAATGTTCAAATAAAAAATGTAGCTGGGATAATTTTAAACAATTATGTTTATTAGCACTTTTTGTGTATAAGAAAACGTTTTCTCAGAAACAACCCTCGAAGCGATAGGCGATGTTGAATGTCAGTTACGCGCGCGAAATCAATTTTAAATAAAATTTATATCAACTCAAAGGTAAAAGTTTAATATTTTTTGATCAGAGTGTCATATCGACAAAAATCAAAGTGCGTTTTAAAGTTAAAGAGTATCGATTTCGTAAAAAATAGTATTTTGCCGTAAAATAAGTCAAATGCATATACATCGCAGTTGACATCCTTGACTCTCTGTGTTAGAACTTGCAAACTGAAAAGTGCTTCGCTCCTTCTGAGTTCTGTTATGAATCCAAGTTTAAGTTCACTTAGGTGTTCTTCAAATTTAACGTATTATAATAATAATTTGGCGCGAATAAATAAAAAGAGTACCTTAAGTACATGGCTCATCAAACTAATTAATCTATTTAACAATAAAACACTGAAACTTTGTTTTCAAACTTCCACAAAATTTATTTTAAATCTTATCACTATAGCTGTTTCGGCTAATTGCCTTTCTCAAAAGATCTATTTTTGGCTTGGGTTTACAAATTTATAGTCTCTAATGAAATAGGTTGAGGAGGGGAGAACTGTTTGTCTCAAGTTGGTCATTCAGAATTATATCTGTGTTTTTTAATTTGTTGATTTCCATAGATTCTAACAAAGACAGCTTAAGGCCTTTATTTTGAATGTGAAGAATTTTAAATTTGTCATTAAAAGAATGATTATGATCTAGAAGGTGAAGTGCGTATGTCGAATTTGTTTTTTCTATTCTTGAAAGCCCTTTTATGTTCTGCTATTCGTTTATCAAAGTTTCTACCAGTTTGACCGATGTAAGTTTTTGAGCAGTCGCCACATTGAAGTTTGTACACACCACTATTTAAGTGTTTTTTTATTTTGGCTCTTGTTATTTTTAATATATTTGCCTAGGTTGTTATTTGTTCGGAAAGCTGGTGTTATTCCTTTCTTTTTTATGTATTTGGCACTTTTTGATGTTATTTTGCCTGTATATGTAATCGAGCAGAAGGTACTGGGTTTTTTCTCTGGTGGTGGAAATACTAATTTCAGGGCTTTCATGTTTAGTTTTTGATTTAACATTTTATTAATTGTTTGTTCGTTGTATCCGTTGTTTACTACTATTTGCTTAATTATATTTCATTCTGTCTCAAAGTTGTATTTTGACATCGGAATTTCTGTTAATCTATGTAACATACTATGATAAGCTGCCAGTTTATGTTGTGTTGGATGGGATGATGAATTGTGTATAGTCGTGTGAGTATGGGTAGGTTTATGAAATATGGGGAAGTCATGTTTGTTTTGAAGTCTGCTCATTTTTAAATCTACAAAATAGTCAATATGACTATGAAGTGAATTAATATACGATAAAAATTGGTCGAGTTGCCTGTTAGTTCCTGTGAAAGATACCAGTACGTCGTCTACGTATCTCCACCAATATAAAAACTGTTTGAATAAGGGATGTTTTGAAATCTTTGTCTCTAGATGATCCATAAAAATATGTGATAGCAATGGGCTTAGAGGATTAACCATTATAAGTCCTGCACTGTTATTTGTATATATTTTATTATTAAATTCACAGTAGACCTGGTTTATGCAAACTTCAAAAAAATGTAAAATTTCAGATGTAATTATTGGATTTGTACTATTTTGGTCTAAAATGTTTTTTACTAGAATAAAAGTTTCTGTAGGAAGGATACTAGAAAAAAGATTTTTTACGTCAAATGAAATTAATCTGGAGTTGTTAGGTAATTAAAAATGTTGTATTTTATTAACTAGTTCTATTGTATTTTTTATGGCACATTTAGGTGAAAATTTAGTGTGTTCTAAAATAATCGCTAACATTTTTTTTTAAAGTTTATATGACGGAGCTGCCCTCTGCTCGATTACATATACAGGCAAAATAACAACAAAAATTGCCAAACACATAAAAAAGAAAGGAATAACACCAGCTTTCCGAACAAATAACAATCTAGGCAAATATATTAAAAATAACAAGAGCCAAAATAAAAAACACTTAACTAGTGGTGTGTACAAACTTCAATGTGGCGACTGCCCAAAAACTTACATCGGTCAAACTGGTAGAAACTTTGATAAACGAATAGCAGAACATAAAAGGGCTTTCAAGAATAGAAAAACAGATTCGACATACGCACTTCATCTTCTAGATCATAATCATTATTTTAATGACAAATTTAAAATTCTTCACATTCAAAATAAAGGCCTTAAGCTATCTTTGCTAGAATCTATGGAAATCAACAAATTAAAAAACACAGATATAATTGTGAATGACCAACTTGAGACAAACAGTACTCCCCTCCTCAACCTATTTCATTAGAGACTATAAATTTGTAAACCCAAGCCAAAAATAGATCACTTGAGAAAGGCAATCAGCCGAAACTGCTGCAGTGATAAGATTTAAAATAAATTTTGTGGAAGTTTGAAAACAAAGTTTTTAGTGTTTTTATTTTTACATAAAATGAATTTCCATCAAGTAACGATCGAATCCATCAATTAATTAATCTATGTTCTTCACATTTCCGAGCGTCGGTTTTTTGGTAAGTGGAATTAATATTGATAATGGTCAGTTTTTTGGTAAGTGACCAGTCTCATATAAGTTGTTGAATAGCTTCGGAAGAGCTGTGATTTGGTGTGCCTTTAACGACTAAAATTTCACCATTACCTTCATTATATCCTAGTGATTTCCCATCTTTAATTAGCTTAGTGTCCATAGTTACTTTGTTTGCTATTTTTTAGCCGTAAAGATTGTCTATTTGAGTTGGACTTCTCGATGTATCTTCGAATAATTCTTGGATAGACTCTTTTCATCTTCTTAATTAAGCTTTAATTGTATTTACAATCTTTCCTTTGATGTGCTTTATTCATTTTGTGCATATCGAAACTAACATGTTTGGATTATAGTGTTACAATTTCCATACATTTCTCCATCAACCATCCTTCTTTTGTTCTTTACAATATTTTATCTGTCATCCATTCTTTCTTATTTTCTTTTTTTCATTTAAGATTTTTATGCGAACGTATGGTAATAGATATTTTTATTTCGTGTTACTATTCTTATTAAGCTCTGTTGTTACTTTTTACTACTACTACTAAGGATTTCAACAGTTTTCACTGTCTTCCTTCACTCAACCGTTTTCTCCAATTTTCCCTGTCATTCCAGTCTCCATCTCGAAGGGTTCTTTTCTCCATAGCCTCGTCGGTTTCGTCTCTGAATGACCTTCGGGGTCTTCCTCTCTTTCTTCTTCCGATCGGGCTCCATTCTGTGATTTTGTTTATCCAGCGTCCTCTGTCCGCTCTTCTGACGTGGCCGTACCAGGATAATCTCTTCTCCTCTATATAGTCGATTATGTCTGATTGCACTCCCATTCTCCGCTTAATCTCTGCGTTTTCAAGTCTGTCTCTTTTTGTAAGTCTACAACTTCTCCTCAGGAACTCCATTTCTACTGCTCTTATTTTACCTCTATTTCTCTTGTTTATTGTCCAGTTTTCGCACTCATATGCCAGGATACTTCTTGTCAGGGTATTATATATTCTCTTTTTTGTCTTTATCGTAATGTTCTTATCCCACAGCACTGAATTTAGTTGTCTTATACAGTTTCTTGTTTGTCTTAGTCTGTTGTTTATATCTTCTTCTGTTGTTCCCTGGTTCGATATTATGGTTCCTAAACACTTGAATTAACTGTTCCATTTACTTGTCTTCCACAAGACAAAAGGACTTGTAGAAGTCCTTTAGTCGTCTTATATAGATTGTAGGCTTTATTTCCACATTTAATAGCTACTTTGTTTTCTTTGTACAGTGCTTTAACTGCTTTTATTAGTGTTTGTCGGATTCCGAGATCATTCATTGCTTCCCATAATTTGACTCTAGGTATTGAGTCGTATGCTTTCTTTAGATCAACAAACGCCAGATGGACCAGTCTACCTTTTGCCATTTTCTTCTCTATCAGTTGTTCTAATGTGTACGTATAATCTAGGCATGATTTTCCTACTGTGAACCCTGCTTGGTCTTTCCCAACTTTATTATTTCAGTTTCTAGTTTTTCCTTGATAATTTTCCCGTAAATTCTACCTCCCTACGATATTATACTAATTCCTCTGTAGTTTTCACATTTTTTCCTGTTTCCTTTCTTATGTATGGATGTGTGCTTGTGTCTATTCCGCAGGTATTTCCTCTCCATTTAGTCCTCTTTCGAACATTCTGTGTAGCATGCGGAATAACTTTTCCGTTCCGTTTTTAGTTAGTTCGTTTGGTATCCCTCCGGGTCCTTTAGATTTTTTGTTCTTCAATGTCTTGATTGCTCTCTTGACTTCTGTCATACTTATTTCTATCTGATCGTATGTTCCATTTCCTGCATGTTCTGTATTCTATTCCTGAAATTGGGGACGGTTTTCTGTAAGTAGTTCTACGTAGTATTCTTGCCACTCGTTTTCACTAATTTTGCCGATTTGGATTTTCTCTGTCTTATTTCGTTGGAGTGCTTTTAACATTCGCCATGATTCTGAATTTCTCGTTCCTCCGATATGTCGTTATATCTCTGTGC